GAGAAAACTCATGGGTTGAGATAAAGACAGTTTAATAGGTAAAGCAAAGCCCACGCACGCAAGCAAAGCAAACTAAGGAATTCATTCACTACTTCCCATTGGCAGGCAGGTGTTCAGCCATCTCCAGGAAAGCAGGGCTCCATCATGTGTTAATGGTTACTTGGGAAGACAAAACGCCATCACTGTGAACATACCCCCCTTCTTCCTTCTTCCCCCAGCTTTATAGGCTGGACATGACACCATATGGTGTGGGATATCCCTTGGGTCAGCTGGGGTCAGCTGTCCCAGCTGTGTCCCCTCCCAGCTTCTTGTGCACGCCCAGCCTGCTCACTGGCGGGGGGGGGGGGGGAGGAGAAAAGGCCTTGACTGTGTGTAAGCACTGCTCAGCAGTGACTAAAACATCTCTGTATTATCAACACTGTTTTCAGCACAAATCCAAAACGTAGCCCCATACTAGCTACTATGAAGAAAATTAACTCTACCCCAACCAAAACCAGCACAGGCATACAGTGAATTTATCTGCACTTGGAACTGCTTCAAAGTTCTGTATTTGCAGTTTTTCTCCTGAAGGAACCTCTGTAATATGGCACACAGTCTGCTCTAGCCAGATGTATGAGCACAAGACAATTTGTAGAAAGCACTGAAATCTTGTACTCTTGCTAGCAAGTCTTTCATTAAGCCTCTTTCCTTTCCCCATAATGAGGTATTGCCTGAAAGTATATTCTAAGATATGAATTGTCTCAACTACATAAATCTCAGTGGAGAGAATGCTAACTGCTTTATGCCAGTGTAAGATTTAAAATAAATTTAGAAGACAATTTAACACTGAAGACTGGCTCAATACCTCAACTTTTCAAAACCAAATTATACCTACCCTTGCACAGGTATTTTTACTACTTATCACCATAAAATATTCAGATTGCCTTTGTACACTGACAAGTCTTAAAATTGAATGAGAAGAATACAATAAAATATCAATGCAAGCAGTGACCTTCATACTATTGAGCGGATTTCAACAAGATGTAAGGATTCACAGGCAGAGGCCTTCTTAAGTGGCATGCAATATGATGCTGTACTAAATTATTCATAGTTAACAGCTATTCTAGTAGCCTCATAAGTCAGGACCTTATGGATAATTAACCTCAGTGAACAGCCACATTTGCACAGAAATAAACCCATCTGTACTGCCCAAAACCAGGCATTCTTCAAACTGCAGTCCTTAAATTAGCCAAGTAAGTATAGGTTCAGAAAGAAAACTGCACAGAATTACCTGAATTAAATTGAGATTACAAAGGACTATGTGACAAGTCTATATGAAGACAAAAATCCTGCCCTACACGAGCCCTTCTGTGTACACTAACCTTGCAGACAACAGAAAAATAGTTTCATTCATTCACCAACAGAACAGCCGTTCCTTGTGCTACACTAGTAAATATTCTATAAAGAAATGTATCTATAACCAGCCTTCTAAATAAGCATTTTTAAATATGCAGATATATATAAATTCACTGATTTAATCCTATTACAAAAAAATGAAACTCAATGTTAACATAGAATAAAACTGCTGCAGAATATTTTAACTCATTCAATTTAAAAGCAAGTGAAATGCAGGTAAATGCAGTTATCTGCACAAGCTGTGCAGAATGAATTATGAAATGGTGAGTCCCCTGAGCCTCCTACTTAGAAAAGCATATGTGCAGCAATAAGAATATGCAACTGTGTAACTTAATGACATCAATATTTAAATTATATACAATTAAAACTGGGTTAGATTAACTCTGTTCTCCCCAGTAATCACCATAATTTACTCACATTTTGTCTAGCAATGTCTATTAAATTAACACAATAAAAAAAACTTTAGTGGTTAGATAAAAAAGTAACGATGGAAATACTTACAGGATTACGACCATATTTGCAACATGCCTTCAACGTATTAAATCTATTTTGTACCCACTCTATTAATTTCCTTAGTTTAAAAAAAAAGACATTAAATTACACTGTCACTGTAATGACTTAATATCACTGAAGTTAAGCATTAAAAAAAAAATTTAAAAATCAACCACTGTAACAATGAAAATAGCTTCTATGATATGAATTTATGGTATTCTTACAGTCTGAACACATGAAGATTAATATTTCATATTCAACAATCTTACAGCTTCCTCTTTAAAAAAAACCCTTGCTCAATAATATGCTTAGGAACTATGGTATGACACAGTTGTATGACATACAGCATGGAATAAAATTACTGTGATGACAAATGTAATAACCACATGCCTGGATACTTTATAGTCAGCAAAGTAGAAGATCTGTGCAGTTAGTAAGGCATTAATCATATGAATTTTAAGAAGTTATTTCTGTGATGACTACTCTCTGACTCGAGTTTCACACCTGAGGTTTCAGCAGTTAAAAGAGCAGCACAACAAACAACAAAGCGTATTACTCAGAAGTAATTGCACAGGACGGTTATAACTCTTGAGCATGTGCTTGTTTTTCTAAGTATTAAGACTTGCACGAAGTTCTTCAAAAACCGCCTTTCCATATTCTGAGCGTTATTTGCACACTTTTGTTTTTCAGATTGTAAGTCTTTGCTACCCAAACATCCAGTATTATCTCTATATAAACATGATATTAGAGAAGGTGCAAACTAAACCTCGCCTATTCATGGATATTAACTTCATATTTCCACATTTTTGGGCAGTTTTCCATTTCCATTATCAACCAATTTTCTATTTCATACTTAAGGTAACAGCTTTACATGAGTTAACCATTTTTACTGGGAATTTTCATGGGCGTACACTTCAGT